TCTTAACTGTGCTGTCTATGTTGTCTCGTACATATGCTGCCAAAATGAGAACTAGGAAACACTGTCTCTTGCTACTCACTTTGTACAAGCAACCCAGCCCAGCTCTGCCCACGCACTTTAAAGGTGGGCCAAGGAGGCCCTCCCTATCTGCATAAAATCAACGCCTTCATCCATGAACCCTAGGGCAACGAGGACATTGCTATACGTACTAATTGGCTTGACTGAGCCACCATCCCATCACTTCAGAGTACCTGAAATTGTATTTTCCCCTCGGGAAAGGACCATAACTCAGTAGAGGAGAATCTGCTTTACATGCCAAAGGTCTCAGGTTCAAACTCAGGCATCTCCAGGTAAGACTGGGATAGACCCCTGCCCCAAATCCTGGAGAGTCACTGCCAGTCAGTGTAGACAATATTGAACTAGATAGACTAATAGTATGACTCAAAATAAGGCAATTGCCTGAGTTCCTAAATCCTTCCTTCCCTCCAAACCACACTGAATCTTCCCATGGTGTGCACTCATCCCCTGAAAGCCTGAAAACTAACTGCAACTAATGATTGAACAACAACAGCAGCAACAGGGCAAAGAAGATGAAAAAGCCTTCCCTCCTGTAGCCAAGTTAGGAATGGGCACCAAAAATGAATGCTACTCAGCTCCACTGAGCCCAGCCACCCCTACCCATTATTGACTAAGCCATATGAGGTATCCATATGATACAGAGAGTGAGAAACAATCCCTGGCCCAAGAAATCTGCGGAAACAATACAACAGGAGAGGCAGGAAAAACCTACAAAGTGTTTTGCTACCACATGCAAACATGTAAGTATTTATTTAAAACAAGCAATTCTAAGGGGTTTTAAAAGGCAACAATTCATGTCAGGACTTATCACCTAAGGCTTTATTCCCTTAATGCAACAAGCAGACATAACTTTTAAAATGCAATCATACACAAAACAATTTACTGCTCCTAACAATACAAACCTTGCTAACATTTGATGCGAACACCAGTCAAGTGAAGGGTATCATTTACAAGCATTGGTATTTGTTAGAAAATATTCCCAGCGGCAAGAATGGTCCCATATTTGCATGTAAATATAAACAAGCTTTGAAATATATGTCGAGGGGGAAATCACAATGCCCTGGCAGTACTGTAGATGGGGGAAAGTGGAAGCCAGTTCTTGCGTGGGAATTGCAGTGCCTGTTCAAACTGCAGCAAGATCAAGACCTTCCTCAACTCTACTAACAGTACACAGTACTGTACCAAAAACTTTTTCACAAAGAGTTATTATATGCAGTACAATGCCCATACCATCTGCTGTATATTGCAATGACCACAAGTGCTGGTAAGAGCCACTTTTGTGAACATAAAAGCTAGCAAAATTGAAGTTCTCTTAGGAATGCTTTTTCAAGATATCAGACATAATGAAACGATACTGAAGTTTGGTGCTTAAAAATAATCAAGGATACAAAAAAGGTTAAGAAAATGTGTTTTCGGTCACACAAGGGCATTTAAACTAACATCTAATAAGGGATAGAAGGATAATGTCTTTAATTGTTTTCTCTAAGGGAATCCACTTATCTCTACTACGACACATAGTCACAATTTATAACCTTAACAAAATCGATGCATAGTTAATTACCCTACAATTAATTTAGTTTTGGCCCTTTCAACCAACAAGGAATGTGAAAATGTTTAATGTTTAAACTCACTGTGACCTTATCTCCCCTAAGGAGAAGTATGGTTTCCAGCCCATTGCTTGATCATTTTTGCTACCTTTTTCTGAATAATTTCCGGTTCCACAATATCCTTTAGAGGCAAGGCAACCAGAACTGTATACTGTATTCCATGTGTTCACACCATAGATTTGTATAAAGGCACCACAATATTGGCAATTTTATTCTTCAATCCCCTTTTCCAATGATCTCCAGCATGGAACTTATCCTCCTCACAACTGCCAGACACTGGGTCAACATTCCCATCCACCACAACTCCAAGGGCTCACTCAGTTACCACCAGTGCAGTTCCCACCACCATACTTGATAAAATTCTGGCACAATTCATTCAAGAAAACTTTTATCCAGGCATGCAGTTTGCTAATTCAGAAGGCAAGGTTGTCCTGTTAATTTGGTGAATGAGCAGCAGTCAGCAGATGACTTGGCTGCTTCTTGCTACCTGCGCATTGGAAATAACTTCCTCCATAGCTGAATTTGAAAGATAAAAGAACAGGCATTTTAACAAGCCTAAAACTTCATGGATGTCTTAGGAGTGAGTGCACAGCCTTTGTATATAATATCACATGAATAACTGTAATTTTGTGCACAGTAGACTTACACACATGTAACTTGTACACATTCAGCTTTACACGCTTGGCAATCTCTCTCTCTCTCTCTCTCTCTCTCTCTCACACACACACACACATGCACACACAGAGAGAGACAGAGAGAGAGAGAGCTGGGAACGCCATTCCATCCACAAGGGGCCCTCAAGGTAGCTCACAGTAGCAACAATAAAATCTCAAAATCGAAAACCATTACAATTTAAACCCCCAAAAAACATTTTCTGAACAACAGAACACATAAATACACTTTTTTCTGCCTTCTGAAAATGAATTGTTAACCTATATTTGGTCTAGTGTAGGCTGTAATGATGAAAGCATGCAAAATATAATTGAAACAGAAAGCTATATAGAGAAAAACTTCTGCTAGCCTACATTCACAGTCAGAAAAAAATGAGCCAGTCAGTGTTATCTTCCCAAACCCTGCTGGAACTTGACAGTCTTGACCTACCTCCAAGAGATCATCTGCAATATAGCCCTGTAGACTTGACAGGGAGAGAGCAATCCAGAAGCACAGTGTACAATAGATTGTACAATACAATTTTGTTAAGTGCTTAGTCTAAAAGTCACCTTTGTTCCCATTCTAGAAATATGTGTTACATAGTACAGCATACAGACCTGAACCAGGGCACAAAAAAAGAAAAAGAAAAAAGAATTTCTGTGCACACACTGTTTTTCTCATTTTTTCTACAGCCACTAGCACATTAAGGTCCTTTTGTGTTTTGAGATGATTAAAGGAGTTTAGGTGCTCTGAGAAGAGGATTCCTTAGCCTTGTTGCACACTCTTTTTGGATGACAGTCCTGATAGTGTGCCCTTTAGATATGAAGTGAGCTTAAGATACAGTTGTGAAATAGAAAAAAATAATAAATTCCATAATCCCTAGGAAAATTTCTCTGCTCTAGAGACCTTCCTCCCTTCTAGGATGCACCAAGTACCCGAGCAGACTCAACCGTGTTAAGTTTGGTTCACTTAGCCCACCTGCCCAGGTTTCAGGTAATGCACCCATCACAATCAAATATCTCTGATTCACAATTTGATCGCAGGTGAGCTATGTGGGCCAAACATAACCTAGTAGAGTCTGCCTGGGCTCTAGGAACCATGCTCATCTCTGTATCATTCCAATTTTAGTATATGTGCTGCCAAAGTGAGCAGTGCTACAAGACCAAGGAAGGGTCAGTTTGCTCTCACTCATAGATATGTTTAGGGATTTGTGTGAGGGATTCTACCTGGTGTTGAGCCAGAGAGACAGAACAGGGATCTTGTGCTGCCCACTCCATGGCCCAACAACCTCCCTGCCTGTGCTGTTAGATGTGGTCTTTCTTTATATTATTAATTGATCACTAATCCTCAACAGGGAGGAGACACCACTCAGGTGGGATATCATGAGCATTGCATACAGAAGGTCCCCAATTTAGTTTTATGTGTCTCCAATTAAAGGATATCAGACAACAGGGCTGGGGATGATCTCTCCCTGGCTGAGAACTAGGAAAGCTGCTGTAGTCAGAAAAGAGAGCACTGGGCAAGAACAACTTGCTTCATATGTATGTGTTTCAATTATGCAGGTGAAATTCATGAACTAGAAGAAAAATGAATCCTCAGGGACATTTCATTATATTCTTATATTTGCAGATTTTGGAAAAGGGCAATCTAAGTATGACAAGCCCCAATAAAAAGCCATTTCAAGTGCAGCCGACTAATGCATATGTGTGCAGATTCAAATGACAGGCAGCAGGTGATGTAGAAAAGTCAACACATGGCAATTTGCACATGTGCTTTAGGTTGTATGAATTGTTTGTCAAGTAACGGGGCAGTGAAATTTCAGTTCACCGCCTCAAAGCTCAAGATTTTCTGCATTTTCTTATGTTGTAGTTATAAATTTGGCTACACAGTTCCCTCTCTGGTGCAAAGGCTGCTATGTCTGCCTTAATTTTAAATAAAACTATTATTTATTACTTAGATGTCTATCCTGCTTCTTGGTCAAAGTCCATAAAATGGCCTAACCCCACCCCCAAATGATACTATATACCTTGAATGGGAAACACATGGCCCTACAGAGGTTGTTGAACTACAAGTCCCATCTTCCCTGACCAGTGGCCAGGATGGATGGGGGTTGCGGTCTAACAATATCTGGAGGACCACAGGTTCCCCATGCCTGCCATATACAATACAGCAATTCATTGCTAACAGCCATCAAACCAAACACACTCAAAGCAAAAACCATACAACTTCAGGGCTCAGAAGATGACACTTCAGTCATCACAGTTCAACTCTAGAAGAGTAAGTGCCTTCTGGAAAAGAACCTGAAATCATACAAAAGCTGAATTTGCCAAGCTAGTTTCTTTGTGCAGAGAATTCTATAAATCCATAAAATGGATTACCTGTTCAAAACTTGCACAAAACCAAATTAAGTCATATGAACTGTCCCGTTTATGTCAATCACAAAACAGTTATGGCAGTTCCATCAAATCAAATTCTGCCCCCTACATATGTTGCAGCCAGGAACCAAAGCCGTGTTTGTATTTCTCTGTCTTATTGTCAGCTGAAAGCACCAATCTTTTGCTTTCCCACTATCTAAATGTCTCGACTACAACAGCATCATAGCAGGTTGTTATGTACCTACATGTTTCGGATGAAAGATCACTGGCAAAGGCCCAATTAACATACCTCATACGTCCCGGGTCCAGGAGTGTCATCTTTTGCTTCTTTAAAACGTTCCACCTGGGAAACGTATACTGCAACATAGGAAGGTGATTTCAACCTTAAGCTGCTTGTTTCTGGGCTGTATGCCCCTGGTCCTAAAATGAGAATTGAGGGAAAGAGAATGAGATGAATTAATTTTTATGATTTTTTGTAGAGGCTTGTTTGCATTTGCGTTGAAGGCAGCTTTCCTGTCAAAACCACAGGTCATGACAGAAAAGTGAGAGATTACCATCAGAATCTCAGTGTTCCATAAAAATGTACCAATAAAATAAATTGCATCATTACCACAGTCTATCATGTTATTAACATAATATCTCCAATGTTTGGTGAATGAAAATATTACTAGTGTCCCAGAATATTTGTTTGTGATTCGAGGACCCGACCCCCGCTTGGGGAATGAAGACACATGGACACAGTATATTAGGTTAATGGGCAAGAAAAGGCCACAACTTTATTGATTACAGCATGTGAGAAGGTATTGGCTTAGGCATTGGACCACAGCAAATTTGACTCCACCCACTCGGAGAGGGGTGAGTCTGATGAGGGGTTAAACACCAGTAGGGGGAGCCTGTTGATGCAAATACAACTATAAGCTCTCCCCTGATGTCACCGAGGGTCGTGCCATGGCCCCCTGCCACACAGGGCATCGGACAGGATCCACAACCGCCAGATTCCTTTAACTGAATACCCATAAGTGGATCCTAGGACTCTCCTACCCAGGGCATGGCCAGTCTGAGACATGTTTGGGTTTAACAATGCAACAACATCACATGCCTTCAGGAAATTCTTAGGCACTGCTAGAAAAAACCTCTATCCAGGTCAAGTAGTAATTGTGGGATAAGAATAAATTGCTCTTTTATGAGGTAGGTGTTTGTAAAAATCTCTTGCTCAAAAAGAAGAAAAAGTACTTTTCTGAGCAAGTAGCTTTTTCATTTTTCAAAACTATACAATGGGGATCAAATAATGCAGCAAAGTGCATAATGTGTCAACAGTTAACAATGACAAAAACGTGCCATGACTTCAGGAAATTGTGCCTCACCAACTTGTACTTATTAAATGTATATTCCACCTTTCCTACGAGGAACTCATAGTAGTTTAGCCTCAAAACTCCTCATTGGGGTAAGGCAACAAAATCTCAGCAAAGCACTTTATTTTAAGGACAAGACAAATCAGTCTCTCTCTGGTTCATATGACTTTCATATGAATTCACTCATAAATCTGTTCCATTTCCATACTGATCTCATTTTAAAAAACTCACACAAATGCTTCACTCAAACAGTGGCGTAGCGTGGGTTGTCAGCACCCAGGGCAAGGCAAGTAATTTGCGCCCCCTAACCCGTGGATTTGCGCCCCCTAACCTGTGGATTTGCCCTAACCCCAGATGTTGCGCCCGGTGCGGCTGGCCCCCCCTGCACCCCCACGCTACGCCACTGCACTCAAAGGCACACATATTGAAATGTATTTTATCTCCAAATATGCATTTTGCGCCTTTTTTGGTCTGAAAACTCAAACATCATGTTCCAATCTGCACATCATTAGTGCAAGGGAAACAGATGGGGTTAATCTGCATCAGAATCCATAAAGATCAAATTCCTCAAGTATCTCCACTTTAGGTTTATATACAAAATCAGAAAAGTGTCTTGTTTCAGTCCTGGCTTGAACAGAAATATTCCCCATCCTTCTACACTTTGCCCTCTATTTGTTGGTGGCTTTGGATGGTTCCTTCATTCATCCATGGAAGGGATATCAGGACCTGCTGCAGCTATAACCAGGATCCCATAGATCCATATGCTGTTTTGTCCTTTGTGGTAAGCAGCTGGAGAAGCAGAGCAGAGTGTTGTCTCAACAAGAAAGGGTTCTAGGGCTCCAAAGTGACTGTGTCTACATCAGGGATGGGGACCTATGGCACTCCAGATGTAGCTTAACTACAATTCCCATCATCTCTGATTGTTGGCTTTGCTGGTTGGGGCTGATGGGAGTTGGATGCCAACAACACCTGGCTGGAGGGGGAAAGTTCTCCATCCCTGGTCTACAGAGGCTAGTTCTCAGTTCCCTATAAGTCTTCCAGTTCATGCTGAGACTTTGTCTTGGCAACAAGGATATTCATTGTGTGCAACTGCCAGGAGCTTTTCCTTCCTGGGAATCCCAATTTTGAACCCATTACAATATGATAGTTCTCATAGGTAGAATTCTTAAAGACCCTACTTCTTAAACCATCTCATTTCAGGCTCCAGCTGTAACACGGCCCATTTCCTTGCTTAAGTACATCATGGAGGTTCCCTGCACAAAACTTCCTGTTTGAGTTTAGCCCACAGGCAGGACAAACACAAACTATCACAATTCTTGGGCATCCTATACCCCAACCAAGATGGGTTCAAATGTGACATGGAGTTTAAATTAAAAGGGACAGGTGAGGAAGACAAGAAAGCCTAATCTAGCCCTGCCTTGTGCTTTAATATTTTTATAATATAAATCATTTAGATGGTGTAGGATAAAACAAACATTCACGTACAGGGCAATCTGATGCCTATCATCTTGTCACATTCCTTAAAAAGAATCTGCTTCTGTACATTTAACTCTGGAAACATTCATTTTGTAACACCATCCTAGGACATAGTTTCCATTATACCTATGCTGCTGCTTATGTGATACAGGTCAAAGACTTGCATTACCAGCTTCTTTTAGCACCAGTTGAGAACTGAATTATGCAAAAGCTATCTGCTATTTATTTACCAAAATGCCACATTTTAATCACAGGTCAACAAAGAATAAAACTTTTCCATTCCACAGCAAGCACCTACAAAAAGCCTGCCTCTGTTGTGATTGCTACGTAATGGGAAAATCAAGAGAAGGTGATTCTTATAATTATATACTTTCTGGCCCTATGCGGGTTCACTCTCTATGAAATGTCAACCAATGCTACAGGGCAAAGGCAGCACAGAACAAGAGCAACGGGTAATTTAAAGTGAAAATCTATGCTGCTGGCCCCTCAGTGGGAACATTTTCAGTACAGTCAAGGAAGACTGGAAAATGATTGCATCACAAAATGGAGCTTTAAAAATCAAACACACGTTTTCTTTGCAGTAGAAGGCACATTTGTGGATCCTGTATCATTCAGTTGCTACCCACTTTACTGCTGGCTCCTGTTATGAGCTTATAAAAAGTGGGTGTTTAAAACTGAGTCCGGAATTGAAGGTGTAAAGGGCACAGCACAAATCTGTAACTATGAAAACAAAAGGTGCTGTTCTAAGCTGTTAGGTGTTTCCGCTTATGCCAATAAAGGCCAATAACAACTAATAACAAGCTGTTTCCGTTTGGATTTGACTTTTTTTTTAAGGAACAGAGAAAAATAGAGAGACTTTTGGCACCTGAGAGATTAATTTATTGTAGTGTGAGCTTCCATAGTCAAGGGCTGACCTCCTCAATTGCAAGAGATATGCACTGAATTGGAGAGGAAGGTTATCAGGTCCAGAAGAATCCTGACACCAGTGACATCACAGGGCTTTGCCATATCAGCAGCCATTCACTGTTAAGGCCAGAGGGGTAGATCATACAGTGAGATGGATCTTGGGGGTTCTGGTGTACTATGTGTGCATGGTTAATCTGGTTCATTTTAAGGAGGCAGAGTGAGGAGCCATGGAGGAAGAAGCTGAAGATAGAAGAAAAAGAGAGAAATCACATAATAATGGCTGGGGTGATTATATGACTGGTGTATGGAGGAGAAACGAAACTGCATGAAAGTGGATGAGAGCAATCTCCCCTTGCAGTTAAAGTCATCTCACTGGGTCCTATGCTTTTCCTTTATATGTCAATCATTCTTGGATAAAGGTGGCACCTTGCCAACAAAAGATTGTGCTCCATAAAATTAGCTAATTTTAATGTGCACAAGTGTCATTGGTCTGATGTTTGTGTGTGTGTGTGTTGAGGGGTGTGCGTGCGCCACACACATGAAGCTATTATTGTAATATATAAGAACCAGTTAACAATAATGGACATTTACAAGGTGATGTTAAAGTGACCTTATTTATTCCACAGCAAGTGTCAAGTGGCTCTTGAGTAATGTAGTCACATGGTATTCTACTCTGAAGTAACAAGGGAGCAATGAGGCAGTCAGGAGGGGTGTTTGTCGTGTGTCTGTGTTGCAATTATCCTCTTGCACTCTGCCTTCAACACATTTTGATATAAATGACCTTTCAGATTAGGGTCATAGACAAGCCAACTAGCCCTAGGGCTTGGAAAACGATGTACACATGTGTGCATAAAGGCTTCAACATGACAAACATGCAAAAAGGTGTAACAAAAATACACAAGCCTTTTTCATGAAGTGATTTGTGACACTATATAAATGCAACTTAAATTAAAAGCTGTGTCCAACAATTGCACCTGTTACCAGTTCCTGTTACCAGCTCCTATGAGGCATGCCAGAACCTGAATACAAAATATATGTGCTTCTCATTGGCTCTGAATGAGACACACATGGTTATATTTAGACTTTTCCCCTGCAAAATAAAGAGAAATATGGGCATAGCTTTTCCCGACTGCTTCTTCCAGTTATTGTCCTGAGAAAATTCTGAGTTACACATCTGCCATTCTGAATTTACATGAGGCAAAGAGGTTTGCAACCAATTTATTATGACATAATCTTTTGTGAACAGTCTACTCTAGTCTTCCCCAACCCAGTGCCCTCCAAAAGTTGTTGGACAACCATTCCCAAGAGCATTAGTCATACAGGGTGGAGCTGGTAGGACTTGGGAGTCCAACAATACCTGGTGGACACCAGGCTGAGGAAGGTCTACTTCATCAGGTGCAGCAGAGGCTTGCACCATTTTAAAAGGCGAAGTCATGCCACAATACACTTCTTTGTTTTTGCTGCAGTTGGATGAGATCATCTCTCATGCCATATACACATCCCCTTCTGTGTATGCTGCTACTGCTGGATGCTTTGAACTCTTCATGGGTAGGGAAAGAAAGACAGGTGCATGCATTCACCCACAAAAATAAATGAAACCAGAATATTCAAGCTATTTCAAAACTATGTACTGTATACCACCCACACACCACCCTCTTTCTCTCTCACCCACACACCCACACTCAC